ATGGTCTGTGTGTCTGGTTTTTTTTCCCTGTTTGTTTTTTGCTCAACAACTTTGGTCTCTCTCTCCCGCCTCCCCCCCTTTTTTTTTCCCTTCAACAGAATTTTTTCTTGGTGGGGTTTTTGGGTGGGGGGGAGGGGGGGATGTTTGGTATTTTTGTTTCAACCATCTGGCAACCCTAGTGCCGGGGGATTGGATGGTGTGTGTGTGGGTGGGGGGGCACTGTGCAGCTGGCAGGGCCTGGCTCTGTGGGGAGGAGGATGCTGGGGCAGAGGGTTGAGGGGTGAAGTGTTGGGTTACAGTCTCCTAGGAGTGCTCTGCCGGATCCCTGGGGGCACCATGAGATGAGGCCAGTGGTCACAGCCTCTAGCTCAGACTCCTGAGGGGTCCTCGGGCCTCACTCCATGTCACAGCCGTCCGCTGGCCCCGAGCAGCCTGTCACGGGGCCGTTGAAGTGCTGGGCCTATGGGCCATTGGGGACCTGGGTCCTCCTCGTGAGAGTTCTGGGGCCAGGAGAGGACCTGCCTGAGCCCCGTGCGCCACCCCCAGCCAGTGCCACTACTGCAGAGCTGGGTGAAAGCCCTGGCCATGCTGTTCGGGGCCACGTGCCCTTTGTCCCGGAGCGGTAACTGTGGCCCTGCACTTGGGCACCAGGCCAGAGGCAGGAGCTGGATCAACATCCCCTGCTGTCCTCGCTGACGCGCAGGGGAGCGGAGCAGGGGCACAGTTACTGCTCTGGTCCCAAAGGCATTAGCCCGGCAGCCTCCCTTCTGTGCCCGCCCTCCCCCCAGAGGGAAGTGAAAGCTACAGGCCAGGCCAGCGGTAGAGCCCTGCCTGGCTCCCAAAGTGGGGTTCCCGTGTACTGACACATCCGTTAGCAGGAGCCCTTCCTGCGGCTTGCACTTCTGCATTTTCTGTTCCACTGGTTGGCTTGCATGCCCTAGAGCAGCAGAGCCTGCAGTTCAACTGGCGACGGCCCTCGCAGTCCTCTGCCCCACAGCTCAGCAAGTGGCATCTCAGTGCACCTGCCCCTTCCCCCTCCCCCCCACTCCGACTGAAGGCTACTCTGTGTCAGAGTGACTGTGTGGTCCCCGTCCGCCCCGTCCCCGCAGCGCAGAGACTGGTGGTGCTCTGGCCCCCGCACACCTGTGGCAGCAGCAGCCTCTGCTCGGCTGAGGGACACGTAGGTGCCTGCAGCATGTCCAGGCCGTGACACGCTGACTAGCAACCGGGTAAGACTCGCGTTAGAGGAGCCCCCAGCTTGTGCAGCTGCCCCTTCCCCATGAGCAGTCTCTGCCCACTGCCCTGCACTGTTACCCTCCCCAGCGAGTGCGGGGCAGGGCCGCCTTGCTCTGGGCCTCCAGCCGCGGGGGGTGCAGGCGCGGGGCCGGAGGCTGCAAAGGCCCTACTGGGGAGCAGGCTAAAGCTTGTCCAAGGTAACCGTGTCTCATTCTGTCCTAGCGTCCTGGGATGCCTCTGGGGAGCCGGATGCCCATGGCAGGCCTGCAGGTGGGACCCCCCCCAGGC